GGATGGCCCAGGGTGAGCCAGTTGAGCGCAACAACAGCATGCTGCGACAACGTGCGGGCGGCGCGCCTCACACGCCAGCGCTCACGCGCGCGACCCGACAGGTGGCCAGGCGGCGGCGGCAAAGGCGGCGACGGAGGGCACGGCCATGGATCGCGGGGAACCGACTCCGACAGGTACGAGTCGTCCCAATCCGGCGCGCAGAGGGAAGTGCGGGTAACAGCGGCAAGGGAGCATCGAGTCCCCATCCCGACCTGGGCAAGAGCAGCGGCCCAGTGGGTGACGTCGATGCTGGCGCCTGGGAACAGGCGCAGCAAGGCGGACAGATCGGCCACGAAGGGCGCAGCTCTGCCAATGCCCGTGCTGGCACGGGCTGAAGCCCCAGGAGCGTGGGCCTCAGCACCGCGGTGAAACCGACCAGAATGGCATGGCGTGGTGCTGGCAGGTGCAGACGACCTCGGGTCTAAATCCCCTGCGGGCGAATCAACGCGTGAGGGTTCGGAACTGGCAGCGGCCCCTGAGGACAAGTCAAATCGAGGGGCCTGTGGAGCGGCTGTGACCCCTGAGGACAGGTCACCTCGAAGGGGCTTCCCCCTGCCACCAGAACCGATAGAACCGAAGGACGGCGCGTCTGAGTCACCGACGGCATGGACTCCGGCAGCATGGTGAAACTGGCCAAACTGGCCACTCGGCCCTGAGGGGGAGCCGGGGGTAGAGCGAGAGTCGCGACAGCGGCACGAGCTCCTCCCTGCGGGGCCGTAACAGCATCGCTGGAGGAGCGCGTGCCTACTCTCACGGCCTCGCTCAGCCCAGGCACGCTTGGCAGCAGCAGCGTCGTCGCTTTCAGCGACTCGCCGCTGCGTGAGCCCTCGGCCAGGGCACGCAGGGCGCGTGCGTCCACCCCTGTGTTGGGATGCGCCGCCATGGAGGGCGGCATCGCCGGCGGCCTGGGAGCCGGCGGAAGCGGCGCGGCAAGGGCCCGCCGCCACCTGCGCCAGCGAACTGCGGCTCCCTGGAGCACGGGCCCCAGAAGCGGCCTCTGAAACACCGACGAGGGCGTCCGTAGACGAGGCAGTCGCACCAGCATGGGCTGGAGCGTGAGCTGTACAGCAGCTACCATCGGCGGCCCCACGACCCCGCCGTCCTCCACGCCGAGTGCGGACCCTACGAACACGTCGGAGCCTGAAGGCGGGGAGTGCGGGGTTGCTGTTGGTGGAGGCCGAGCGGCGACGGGGCCGCGCTATAGTGGCAGTGGCTGCGGCGACGCATTCAACCGAGGAGCCCGCGGCGAAAGCGACTCCTCGACCAGAGCGGAGCGCAGGGACCGCATCGCGGGGCGTCGTGTCCGCCGCGGGCGAGCCCGCTCCTGACATTCCACCGGCGGCACGAACCCCTCCCTGCGGGGCCGCACCAGCATCGCTGGAGGGGCGCATGCCTACCAGTGGGGACGGAGAGGGGCTCAGACCACGAGGGTCGGCCAGCAGGCGCTCGCGAGCGCGGGCAGGGATCGACGCGACGGGGCCCTGGACCCGATTGCACGAGAAGCGTCGGGGCCTCGCTGCAATGGCAGCGGCTGCGGCGACGCCTTCACCCGAGGAGCCCGCGGCGGGGCCGATGAGGCCTGGAGGTGACCCCGCTGCTTGAGTGCCCGCTGCGTTCCGAGTGCAAGCGCCCCGAGGCGTGGGGATCGCAGCTTCGGTCGAGGCACTGCGGACGGGCGTTTCTGGCGCGTCCACCACGCTACCGATGGCAGTGGGCGCCCTCGCTGTGGTGGGACTGCTCGCAAGCGAGACTGCGTGCACAGCAGGGGGTCCCCCGAACATCGCTGGGGGCCCGCCAGTGGCGCGTCTGGGGGCAGAATCCGCGTCCGAAGCGCTCGAAGCGACCCCCCGCCCCACCGACCCCCATCGTGGCAGCAGGGGGGGCGTCGAGGATGACTCGCGAGCAACCGCTGCGCGGGCCGCCCAGGATGCACCAGCGGTGGCGCCTGGCTCCAGTGCAACCGCCACATCGTGGCGCGGCGGGCCCATCGGGGGCGTGGATGGACCCCCGCTTAGACCGACCGTCTGCGAAATGTCGCGGAAGCTTGAACGAGTGGCACCGAGCGCAGGAGGCTGCGCCGGAGGCGAGGGCGGGGTCCGCAAGAACGGGATCACGGTTCGCCCCGACTCGAAGGCCCACTGGTGGGACCCAGCACCAAGCATGGGAACCCCCACCTCAACAACGGCCGAGCATGGATAGCGCGACGGCGGCATCCGCACACCCGCATCCAAACCGGCGAGTTCCAGAGGCAGACCCGCACACCAGGCCTCGGGACCCGACAGCGCCACGAGCCCAGGCGGTGAATGGTGACACCGAGCCGTCGAGGTACCGCCTGGCGTAGCGACCAGGTGACTACTGCTGACAAGCGCCGGAGTCCCAACCAAGGCAGCGGTCGCGCAGACGTGCGTCGACGGCGGCGCCACGGCGGCGGACTCCAGGTTCGGTTGTGCAGTCAAAGAGGCCGGGCGAACATTGCTAGGGTGGAGAGACGGGTGCGTATGAACTCCCGCCTGTGGGTCGGCGAGGCCCGGCGGCGGCCCAACCCGCCCGAC